TTCGATCTAGCGATTGATAATTGATTGTTAGATCGATTATCAACCAATAATCAATCGATAATTGATCCTTAGATCAATTATTGATTGATAATTGATCATTAGATCGATTATCAATCAATAATTGATCATTAGATCGATTCATTGATCTAACAATCGATTAATCGATCTAACCATCGATTATTGATACTAATGATTGATAATCGATTGTTAGTATTGATAATCAATTGTGTCAATTGTTTTAGCCACCCTTCTACCCCATCATCCTAAAGCTACCCTATCCACAGCTACCCTACTAGACTCTAAGCTACCCTCACGGCACACAGCATCAATACTGACAGCTAACCTACCCTTGTTTTGACAAAAGCCTAGCTACCCTCACGCACTCTTTGTCTGACGGACAACCTTCAGCTACCCTCCCTGTTCTTTTGACTAAAGCCTAGCTACCCTCACGCACACTTTGTTGATTGACCTATGTAAGCTACCCTGCCTGATGTTACCTTGCTCAGCTACCCTCCCCCCATCATTGATTCAGCTACACGCACACACGCACACACACACGCACACACGCACGCACACACGCACGCACGCACGCACACTTGTTTGACTGAACACCACGGATTACAAACAGGATGAGAAAAAACAAGCGGTATGATTTCAATTATGCAATACAGTTCTGCAGGTTGTTGATCAGATGATTTTTGTTTGTTTCTTCTTACTCTTCCTGTTTCTTTCTTCTTACTCTTCCTGTTTCTTTCTGCTCCTACTGGCTATTTATGATGGAATGATTGGATCTTTGGGTGATTCAAACCCTTGGGACTTATTTATTTCCGCTAGTCATAATAATGCTAGTAGGAAAGCGTCAAAGAAACGGTGCAAGGCCAAAAAACAACAGGAAACTCGAGACCAGATTCTCAAACAAACTCTCAACCCAAGTGATACCACGCACTTTGTCAATTGGAGGCGAGTCAAATATGAAGAACTTGACCTCTATCCAACCATCCCAGTCAATCACAACAAGAAACCAATTTGCCCACCCACTCCCGAAGAGATCAAATCAAAACGTTCCATCTTTTCAAGACGGGCCGAAACATTGTCCAAGATCCATTGGATAAGGAATCTGTTATTGCTTTCATCAATTTCATCAAGTTTGAAGATATGTCCAAGCAAGATAAGGCCAATCTAAACTTTTTCACCACTTTTCTCCATTGCTCAAAACAGTTCATCTCTCCTGTTGGCGTGGATAGCCGTTCTTGGGGAGGATTGATGTGGGTGATTGGGTGGAGGAGGTCATCTGATGGTGATCAGATTGTTGGTCGATATATCAAAAAATTTGAAACCAAAGACATGGAAGATTTCCATGAACATTTCACCGAATCTCATAAGATTGCAGATATCCTTGGATATCATTTCAAACAAATGGCTAATACCTCATTTGAAGAAAACCAAGACTTGATTAAAAAACATAATATTCCTTCCTTTTCTGCTCTTGAATTTCACGATGAAAAAACTGAATCTGATTGCTCCCCCTACTTAGTTTTTACCACTGATCATTTTTACAATGCACCCCATTCTGATAAAGAAGATATTTCTCAATTTGCTTTTGTTATGTTTATTCCAACACTCTCTTCAGATGGTAGTTTAGCTCTTGACCCATCCTCGTATGACATATCCTCTGGTCCTTTTGTCTTTCCTGATGGTATCAACTTTGACCATCAACATGGTATTGTCAAAATGATTTGGCAAGCAAACCGCTACAAACATTGTACTATGCCTTCTACAAAAAGTACTGCCTTCACTCGTCTTGGAATGTCTGCTCAAATTAATTTACGATTATCTAATGCTTGTGAAAGATATAAAGCAGGTTTTTACAAGAAAGATGCAAATTACTTTGGGGATCATTTTTACTATTTGTTTCGTACTGCAGCTTGGGCTAGCCTTTTGTTGTCTTTCTTTTTACTTTTATAACCTGTTTTTGCAATTCTGATTACTACTTGGCACAATTTTAAAAATTCCCATTTTGCTTGATACTTAAATTCTTTGAATTATAAATTATAACCAATCAGGACCCACATTTAACAGATTTTCAGAGCCTTAATGATGATATAACATGATCCTCAAAGAGATGGATGAATTGTGTGAGTTTCCCATATTCATTTGAAATGAATCAAAAACTGCTGCAGGGCTGGAAAAAAATCCATCCTCAACAGAATGTTGTCATATTTTAAAAATTGTTCCCCTGGTCACCTCCATTGAATTATGCTAGAAGCCTGTAGATTGAAGTAACTCATTCATTGAAATATGAGTGACTATGTTGGAACTACTTGAAAATTGTAATAAAAATTGATATTGCTTAACTTCATATTTCCACCATAATCTTAGTATAATCTGTGTTCAGTCTCAGAAATCTAATAATGCATTACAGGTGTGCTCAGTTATGATTAATGACAACATGATCCACAGCAATACCTACATCATGTTCCTTATTATTGTTGTAATTGATTATAATATAATTCATAATAACCTCTGTTCATCACAGTTTATAATTATTATTCATATGATCAACACTGGGTCGCTACTTTACGCTGCATTGTCCAGCGTATCTGAGTAGTGTAGTGCACCCAGCTGCTTGGCTGCTACTTTACCACTACACTAACCGCAATTTTTTTTCCTGGGCTGTAGTGTAGTGGGACCCTTTTCTGAAACCCAAAAAAAACAGATAGTGTAATGGTTTCACCCCTGGATAGTGCGCTACTGCAATATCCTGTAGCGTAACTGGGCCCCTCTTTTTGAGAGCACCAAAACCTGATTTTGTAACGGTTTCACCCCTGGATATTGAGTTACTGCACCATCCAGGGGTGAAACAGCCCTAATCTGATGAGGAAATGGTCCAGCCTTGTCATTGAATTAAGGGTCCCAACCTAATTGTGCCCTCTGTCCCCGACCCCATCCATCTTGATTCTTCACAAAAATCATCTTCAAGATTATTTAATATCATCCAATATTAATTCCTATTCATCTTACTTGCTCATATTAATGTTTCTCTCTCCTAGGTTTGTCTTCCTAATAGTAATTTTTCTCTTGTCATCTCCTCTCTACTGTAATGCAATAAAAAAATACAAAAAACAGCCGTTGTGATAGTGTAGTGGCAAAAAAAAACAGCAAAAAAAGAAAAAGATAATGTAGTGCATTTGCGCTACAGGAAAAGTAGTGCTAGTGACAAAAAAAACGCTACTTTACCGCTACACTACCGTTACTGGTAGTGTAGTGACCCAGTGTTGATATGATTCACAGCAATACTTACATCATGAGTCTGACCTTGGTATTGTTGTAGTTAATGATAACATAATTATCATTTTAACCTGGCCCAAGCTTCCCAGGCTATTTTCTTGAATTTATGCACCATAAATTCATAGATGGTGGAATTGATGGTTTTGAGACCTACATACATGCAAGTAATCAGTTACTTGCATGTATCTTGTATTTGGAGTATTGGACCCATTATCTTCTGGATGAATTTGGTACTAATCCCTCTGGATTACATCCATCTTTGCAATTTCCAGTGCATGCACAATCTCAATTGAACTTCAAGAAACCCCAATATAAATTTAGGGCCTGTACCATAGAACCCAATTTTCAAAAAATCAAATTTTCATTTCCCAGTTTCATTTTTTTTCATCAAAACTCATAATTCAATTTTTCAAGAAATCATCGACCAAAATGATGTACCATGGAGTCCAACCGCCCTTGGTTCTCCGGCATGGGATGTGCTACCTTGAGTACCGTGATCATTCATCACCTGCGCACATTCTGCCATGTCTCGTATTTATCCCCCAACACTTCCCCCCCACTTCCTATCCATCCATTTGACAGTAACCAAAGTCCCCCCCCCCCCCCCCAGCACCCGTCTACAATCCCCCATTTCTTTCTTCTACCACCTGACACCGCAAGCCCTCTGTTTCAATGGATCCCCAGCTCTTCACTGCCATCCTTGCAACAAGCATTGCTATCATCATGCTTGCAAAGCATTGGAATGAAGGCAATCCATACTACAGCGACGGCGGCCAGGCTACCTACGTCCATTTTCTATTGCATTTGGCGCGAGAAGAGCTGTTCCACGAGGTCACATCGCTGCAACGAGATACCTTCGTTATTCTCATCGCCACTCTCAGAAGGAAAGGCTTACTAGTGGACGGAAGATCGGCTACAGTTGAAGAGCAAGTGTTGATATTCTTGAACATTGTTCGCTACAACAACTCAATGCGTGAGACGGCTCTCAAGTTCCGCAGAGGTTTGTACACCATCAACCGGTAAGTTTGCAAGACTCTTGCTTTTGTTGTTCAATCATTCTGACTAGTCTACATGGTCAGCTATTTCGAGCTTGTGTTAGAGGCCTTTATGGCATTGTATCCGGAATATGTCCAGTTGAACGTCCACACAATGTTACAGCCCACTGCGATTCGAGACGACCCCAAATTTGCAGCTTTCAAGAATGCCGTCGGTGCCGTGGATGGGGTGTTCATAAATGCTCGGGTACCTGCAAATGATCAACCCGCGTGGAGGAGTCGAAAGGGATTTGTGGCTCAGAACGTCCTGGCGGCAGTCAATTTCCGATTCGAATTCATCTTTGTTCTAGCCGGTTGGGAAGGGAGCGCCCATGACACTCGTGTGTACATGGATGCCTACGCAAAAGGACTCCAGCTCCCGCCTAACAAATACCTCCTCGCCGATGCTGGATACGGCCTCCAGCCAGGCCTGATGACCCCTTTCCGTGGTGTCCGTTACCACCTCAAGGAACAAGCCGCTGCAGGGCAACGGCCAACTACTGAGAAAGAGCTGTATAATCTCAGACATGCATCACTTCGCAACATCATCGAGCGGATTTTCGGATGCATGAAACGCAAGTATCAAATCCTTTCCTCAACCCCGGAGGCTCGACTCAATAAGCAGGTTCATCTCGTTTACAGTCTATGCATGCTTTGGAATTTTATCCATAAGCACGAAGGCCATGAGGCAATGCTCGCAGCTGATGAACTTTCTGGTTCATCAGCTGCGACCTCCAATGACGATGAATTCAATCAGAATCCAACCCAACCATCTGAAGCCGCTCCAGCTCGTAACAATGCTCAGGAGGATGCGTACATGAAGCAACGACGTTATCGAATTGCCAAATCCTTGTGGCAGCAATATGTAGATCACACATCTACAAGCACCCGAGTATTCTAGCGCCTTTCCTGTTTGCGACGAGTAGTTATTTCTCCAACGTTATCTCCTCCTATCCTATCTCGATCTCCCTCCTTATGTTGTCCTCTCCCCTCCGATGTTGTTATCTCTCGCTCTCCTCACTGTGGTTCAGATTTTCACTTGTCATGATTAGATCCCCTCCGATGTTGTTCTCTCTCACTCTCCTCACTGTAGTTCAGAATTTCTCTGGTCATTGAAGCACCTGATCAATATACTGTTTGACTTCGGTATTTACTGGTTGAGTCAAGAGCATTGGTGACCCACCATACAAACATGAATAGATTGACTGAGTAAAATGACCATCAAAGTTTCACAAAACAATTTGGATGCATTGAGAGGAATGACATGGACAAAAAAATGAAAGGAAGGAGCGACATGAAAAAAAAATGAAATGAGCAACATGAAAAAAAAGAAAGGAGCGACATGGGCAAATGACCAACATAGCGAGAAGAAAAAAAAAAAGAAAGGAGCAACATGGGCAAATGAACAACATAGCGAGAAGAAAAAGAAACTAAAAGGGTGTTCCACGTGCAAGGACCTCCTTGGAGAGCCACTTTAGAACAACTGTAGGCGAGGTTGTTTGAGCCAACTTGAGGAAAGTTCGCGCCTTCAAGTTGTCTTCAACAATACGAACATAGTCGACAAAATCGTCATCTGAGATGTCGTCGCCAAATAAATCCTGTAGTTTCTCAAGCGCACATTCGGAAGGACTTTGAGGCGCCGGAGGGGTATCGATGCGAGGTGTATCGATGCTTTGATAGGCTTGAGGAAGGGTGGTGATCAGTGGGGGCGGAAGACTGGCATGTGAAGCCATGGACACCATTGCCCCCACTAGGTCTTTGGATCCCTCCGAAGCCTTGTCGATGGCCGATATCAGACCCTGGATGCCAGTACTCAATATATTATTCTTTCCGTCACGAGAGCGTTTATAGGCAGGCTGGCTGGGGGAGGGTTGAGTGGCGTCCCCAATGTCATCGTCATCATTGGTTTCCAAGGCGAATTGGCGCTTCAACTTAGCCAAGGTTTTCTTGTGGTTAAGCTTCG